TGTTTTTATGATAAAAGCCCAACCCATTCCACAGTTTGGGGATTTGATCATCACTCTCATCCACAAAGGTGGGCAAGAGACTCAGGCCAGGCCCATATCACAGTAATTGTTTTAAAGATGGGCCAGTAAGCTACGCAAAGCCCATCAGCACCTTCTCCAGGGCTCTGACAGGAACCATCCAGAAAGGAGTGCTCTCCATTTCTGAGAGATGGCTACCGTGTAAGACAAGCCAGGAGCTGTCAGTGGCCCCCACACGGGAGGGCCATCCTAAGATGGACACAGACAGTGCCACAGCTGACAGGCAGAGAGCAGTTATAAAACCAATCAAGAGCCCCTGGAGCCAGCAATGCCTGAAGCTGACTGGAACTCCTTGGGACACCAAGGATAACCGGGCCCATGACAACCCCTTGTCTGTCTCTTCCACTGTAGGCTGGTTTACACTGCATTTACACTCAATGAGTCTTCAAGAACAAGAGTAGTAAGCCAGGGGAAGCTGAGGCCGTCCTGGGCAGCTGTGTGGAGAGCCAAGAGCAGCCAGCAGCTGCCTGGGACCTGAGAAGCCCCTGCAGCCAAGGAACCCTGAAGTTCCCAGAGCCCCTCTTCAGTGTTCCTGAGACCCTTTCACTGCCCTCTAGGCAGTGCCAGGGCAGGGTGGGAGGAGGGGAAACCCTACAAGGGGCAGCTGCAAGGCCTGAGCCCCCTAGCCCCCAGCCCCCAGCCTGAGGCTACCATCCCTGCCGACCCACTCTGGCACCTGGGCCAGGTGGAGTCCCATGTGCAGCCTTCTTAGGAAAAATGGAACTCATTTCAGTCCCTTGGGCCAGCAAATGACTTCTCCCTGTAGCCCTTAGTGACTCTTCATTCCCATCAAGACTGGACAAAGCAGGTGTCTGGCCGGGATGGCCCCCAGCAGGGGAGCCCAGCCCATAGAGCGGCAGCCCTTGGGTCCCTCTGAACTTCAGCCCTACAATGGGGGCCCTGCCTCACAGAGTTGGGCCCCCATGGCCATCACCCGGCACATAGTAGGGGCACAGTAAACTGTGACTTACTATTATTACTTTTTAGACCAACAGGCTTCTCATTGATTGGGTTTTTCATGAACATATAAGAACGATGTGAAATTAGCACACCTATCATGTGGCCCTAGAGGTACTAAAAAACTCCTCCATAGCAACGTGATATAACATGAATTCTTCCTTAAGCATTATTTTCTCAGGAATTGTGACAAGTCAAACTTGAACCTTTCCCTGTGAATATTATGAACCACTTCTGTCTACCAGCTCTAGAAGATCCTGGAAACTCTATATTTACCAGCCAGTGTGGCGATAAAGTGCACAGCATGTCTCATGAAGTATGTCTTCATGTGGCATTTCTTGAGCCCCCAACTCCATCTGACTCCGTAGAATGTGCACCCTGGCAGGCCCATGGTCCCAATGTCATGTTAAGGGAGGAATAGCACCTCTCCTCTTAACACTCTCCATTTATGGGGAGCAACAAACCCCACGTCCTGATTCTCATGGGAGCACCCAACCTCAGCCTGGCCCAAGTGATAACCAGGAAGCAGCTGGAATTGTCAGAAAAATATGTCATCCTGACACTGCTGGGGTCCCTTGCCTCACCACAGAGGGACTGCACCTTAGAACAAAGCCAAAACTTGGGAAGATGGAAGTAAGAGACAGCAGGAGTCCTAATGACCCGGCGGAGCGTGGGGTCCAGCCATTACCATGACATGAGCTAGTAACTTCCCATTTCTGTTTGGACAAATGTCAGTTTTCCGACACTTGTAGCTGAAAGGATCCTCAGCAATACAATGACATAAGAATCCCCTCGTGCTAAATAGATGAGGATAGTCCGGCCCACAGTAAACAAAGCAGCTACAGCTCTCCTTTAAAAAGGCAGAGCAACAAACTCAGGGCCAGGCAAGTAGACGAGCAGATGTGTGTGGCAGGCCAGGGGCAGGACAAAGGGACCGAAAGGGCCTGTGGCTCTGGAACAGGCATGCCCCACTAAGCATGAGCTGGGAGACCACAGCTGCCTGCCGTGCTCCGACTCCACGGTACCCCCACATCCCTTTCAGGAAGGCTGGTTCCAAGAGCCCTGCGGAGGTGGGGTTCCATGGTCCATCGGTGCGGGAAGGGCTGGTTATGCAGAGCTCAAGAAGTTTCTCTATTACAGAATTTCTCAGAGGTCCCAGTGGACCCCCTTGGATCTGCCAGGCTGAGCACAAAGTGCAGTGTCCCCTTGTTGTCCACTGAACCCACGGGCTCAGAGCAACTTGTGCAATGTGCAGATTTCTCTTACCCAAATGGGGTGGTGGAGCTCTCCTTCCCAAAGAGAAGTCCAAGGCCCAGGAGCAGCAGCCTGGTAGCTTCAAGGAAATGCAGAACCTTGGGCCACAGCCTAAATGCACTGAATCAGAATCTGCACTTTAACAAGCCCCCCTGGAGATTTGTACACACACCACAACCTGATGCACCTACTTGGGTGTGTTTCCATATCTGTGAAGAAAGAGCAGGAGGTGTAGGGCAGGGGTGCTGTGTGGCCTGGTGGCTGAGGGTCTGGCTTGCTAGAAGGAGGAAATGCATTTATCCATGTAAGGCCTACTGAGAGGGAGTGCACAGGAATCATGGCTCCAGCTATCACATCTCAGTGTCCACCACCCAGACTTGGGAGCCCCACGGCAGAAGGGGCTGGACAGAACCAGGCCAGACTCCTGCCATCATAGGCCATAGGATCTTGAGTGAGTCACTCAACCTCACTCAAGTCTGCTGAGGCTGCCCATCTGTAAAGCAGGGGTGAGGATCCCTCCCCTGAAGGGTCTCTGCGAGAGGCATAGTATGTAAAGAAAGCCCCAGGACCTTAGCAAGTAGGCCTATGACTGAAGCGCAGAGGGACTCAAAGGGTTAAGGAATTAATTGATGGAAGGAAGGAAGGAAGGAAGGAAGGGAGGGAGGGAGGGAGGGAGGGAGGGAGAGAGGGAGGGAAGGAGGGAGGGAGGAGGGAGAGAGGGAGGGAGGGAGAGAGGGAAGGAAACTCATGGGCTGCCCTACTGTTTCAAGGCCATTTCTGACTGACACCATTCAAGGCCACTCATGTAACCCCCATCCCCTCTCCCAGCTTCGGCCTTCCTTCCCCTCTGATCTCACATTTCTACCCATATGTGTCCAGTACACGTGACATATCACCGTGCCTGTCCTGACCAGGCTGATGCACACCTGGCACCTGTGCACATGCTCTTCCCTCTGCTAGCATTGCCAGCCTGCAACTCATTCTCCAGACAGCCCGCAGAAGCATGCTCTCAAAACCCTGGCCACGGAGTCCCTCAGCCCCGTCACTGCTCTGAGCATGTGAGCCCCAGGTGGGCAGTGGGCCAGCCACCTCTCTGACAAGTACAGCCAGCAAACACACCAGGAGGTGGCAGCTGTGACAAATGAACTGCCAAATGAACAAATGGGTGAAAGATACAATGAGGAAGTCTCCCTACACAGCAGTCCACCAAGAGAGGACATCCATGTCAACTCCCCCATCCCACCCCACCCCTGAGCAAGTCCCCAGCACTCATTTCTTTTGATTTAGGAAATTCCAGCATAAAGTGAGACACACCTATGAGGTCCAGGACTTCCTTGGAGACAACAGGGATATAAAGGGCTGCACCATGTCACCCCAACTCCTCCAAGGACACTTAAAGTTGTTTGCAATACGCCCAGGTTCTAACTAAATCTAGCCAAAGGCAGTGATTTTCCGAAGCAACAAGTGACATTTCCTGTGTCTCCATAAAAAGAACACCAGCGGTTGTGGAGCTCTGGTGTAATTGCTGGCTCTGCAGCTGGCAGGTCAAGTCTGAGGACGGGGGCTCAGGAACCGGCAGGGCTGGGAGAGCAGCCACTTGCTCAGAGCAGGAGTGCCCTAAACAGCAATTAGAGCAGAACCCACGATGGGCGGCTTCAGATGTCTGGCCAACACAGCCGGCCTGACCACCACACACCCAATCCAAAATAGAAAACTGCAGTGGCTTCTGCCACGTGCCAGGCCCCCGGGCAGCTGGACAGAACACTGCCAATGTCAGCCTCTTCCCTGAGCATTGATCCAAGCTTCCTTCGAGGCCCCCTTAGGTCAAGCCACATTCCCTCTGGGCCCCTGGAAACAGGAGAATTTCCCAGGGTTCCAGTCACACTGGGTGGCCCAGGCAGTCCCAGGAGGGGACTTAGTGTCTCTCCCGTCCTTCCAGGTCTGCCCATGGGCACCAGAGCCTGCCTTTCCAAATGCTCCCCTTGGCTCAAATGTTTTAAAAAACCGACTTTTCAAATCACCAGCTGGAGTTTCACAGGAAACCAGTGGCTCCCGGTCAGCCAGGGGGCAGAGGGATAACTGGGCATTTCAGCACCACTGGCTACAACCTGGGCTGGTGCCACCTGCACACACAAAACAAGAAAGGCTGCCAGCACTCGTGCCCCCCACCCCCACCACCGGCACTGCCACACACACACATTACCCAGGCTCAAATGCACAGGGTCACACTCAACAGACACTCCAACACACAAATGAGCAGAAACCTACAGATACACACATGCATAAGACACACAACAGCATGTTCATGTTCACACAGATGCATAGGTACCCAGACACCAGTACATGCTGACATTCCAAAACACATGTGCAAATGGGCACACTCACGGGGATATGCGCACACCTGGATGCAAGACAAGACCTGTGCCAGCAGGCAAGAGGGAGACCACACTCTGCTATTCAAAAAGGGCTTGGAGACACTGGCCTCCCCCTGCACAAATCACCCGTCTCAGATCAATCAAAATAACTTGCCTTCCTGCCAATCAATCCCTTCAGTCGGTGCCCCATGGTCCCTAAGCACAGGGGTGCAGAAAAGGTCCTCCATGCAGGCCTTCCCTCCCAGGGGACTCCCGTGTAAGGGCAGTGGACAGAAAGACTTCTGGAGCCCAGGCAAAGCCAGTGGACAGACAGACACTAGGGAAGTGTGAACTCACCAGCCCATCGCAGTTGCTGAGTGCCACGGAGGAGGCTTCAGCCAGGCCGGCCACGTCTCCGACATAGAGGCAGGTCCCAAGCAGGGGCTCCACGCGGGTGGCGCCTGACTCGCCTTGCCACTCCATGGTGGCCCCAGGCGCCACGAGGCGGGCATTGGGCCGCAGCCGCAGGTGCAAGTCTCGGCCGAAGACCGTGACATTGTAGAAGAGGCGGTCGCCAGGGTCCTCCTCCTCGCTGCCTCCCAGGAAGCCCGGAGTCTGGGCTGGGGCGGCCCTCCGGGCCCGTACCCCCGCCTGGGCCGTCGCCGCCGACACCACGTGGGACACCAAGCGGCCCTGGGCGTCAGTGCGCACTGGCACCGCCAGGATGCGCTCCGCTTCGTGCCCCAGGGGCCCGCCTGCAACGGAAAGGGGCGTTAGATCCGCTGAGACCTCGGAGCCCCAGAGCCCCAGAGCCCAGCCGCCGAGCCCCACACGCCCCCAGCCCCCGCCCCCACTGCGAAGGCAAGGGCATTCCCCCAGGCAGTCCCTAGAAACTAGCCTGCACCTCCCCGGCTGTCTTCCGACCGCGAAGGGGCGTTAACAGGGCCACCACTCGGAGCCCCGCTGCCGCCCGGGCCGTCCCGCTCTCGGACCCTGCCATCCAAGAGCTCTGGCCCCTGCCCCGTTCCGGCTTGGGGCTCCGCGGGCTCCTCACAGTTCCCCCAGGGAAGGCCCCCTGAGAGCGTCCCCTGCCCCTTGAACCTACCGTCCTTGGCAGGACATGGGGCCGCTCCGAAACCATTCCAGGTTGGCCTCCTACCCATGCGCCTCTACCCCTCGGCGGCCCCCGCCGCCCGGCCTCGCCACTCTCCTCCGGAGCAGCAATGGCTCGGCTCCCCCGGGCACGGGCGGCCTGTCCTCCGTGTCCGGCTCTCGGTCAGCCCGCTGCCAACCCCCCTGCCTGCACGCCCGAGGCAGGGAGGGGTGGCACAAGGTCCTTCGAACCTCTGGGGATCCCCTCCGGGGAGCCCCAACCGGTCTTCAGGGCCCAAGGCGGCGCGCTAGGCACCCGGCTCCTCCCGAGTGTCCCCGGACGCGAGACCGGGCGCCGCCTCGCCCTGGCTCCCCAGGACCCGCCGGGGCTGGCGCTGCGCTCTCCGCCGCTGGGCTTGCCCAGCCCTCCGTCTCCACGCTCCGCATCCCGGGAGCCGCGAGTGCTCTGAGGCTCCCCCGGCCCGAGGCGCCTGGGTGCGCCGCGGGGCGCCCCCTGTGCGACCAACGCGGCCCCGAAGTTAGCCAACTTGGCCCCGGGCGGGGCGCGCAGAGTTTACCCAAGTCCGAGCGGACGCCGCCAGGGGAGGGGGCGGCGGGGCATGCGGGCACGCAGGGCGGGGTCGGCGCCCGGGGTCGCGGGGCAGGACCGGGCCGCACCTACCTGGGGGGTCGGCGGCGGCTGCGAGCCGGGCGGCGGGCGGCGGCGGCAGGAGCGGCGAGAGCAAGAGCAGCAGCGCGGGGCAGAGCAGGCGGCGGGCGGCTCCAGCCGGCGGATCCATGGCAGCCGGGCCGCAGCCGGGGGCCCGCACTCGCAGCCGGCGCGAAAGTTCCCCGCGCACCGCCCAGCCCACATCTGGGGGCAGCTGGAGCCGCCCGCAGCTGCAGCACCGCAGGGCGCGGGGCGGAGGAGACGAGGCGCGGGGCGGAGGGCGGGGAGCGCGAGGGGAGGCGGGGAGAGGGAAGGAGTGAGCGAGGGAGGCGGGCGGGAGGGAGACGGCGAGCGAGGGGGAGGCGGGGACGGCGGGCGCCTCAGCCTGCGGTGACCCGGCGCTTCTTGGCGCGGCCGCCGCTGCCGTTCCCTGCTCGCAGCGAAGCAGAGACACCCCGAGGCGGCGGCAGAGAAGCGCCCCGGGCCGGGCCGGGGGAAGCCCATCGCCGGCCTCTCTGCGCGCGCCCCGCGCCAGCGCGAAGCACCCTCTTGGAGGAGCGGCGCCCTCCAGAGCGAGCAGCCCCATGCAGGCAGTCTCGGCGGCGCCCCGGATCCCAACCGTCAGCCCCGGGGCGGAAGGGGCCGCCTTACCCTCTCTGTGCGCCCAGGGGCAGAACTGGGCGGGCGCAAGAATGGGTGGGGAGATAGGACCCCAGAGGCCTGAGGACGCCTTTATAGGCGAGTTCATGCACTGCCGGGGCCACCCCAAAGACCAACTTTTACCCTTCTAGAGATAGGCAAGGTTCCCTCGGTCCCCAACTCCTGCCTGCCTGAAGTCCCTGTCCCCCTTATTGCAGCCTCAGAGCACAGCCTACTCCACCCAGACCTGGGCCCGCCCTCCTAGAGCTCAGGCGGGCTGCCGCCCTCACCATCCTGAATCCCTCGAGGACATCTAACCTCCCGGCCTTTTCACTGCCCAGACCCTGCCTGCAATCGCCTCTTTTACTCTAAGCCCCTTTTCCAAGATATCCCTCTCCAACCTGGAGCATGTTTGCTTTCAAAGCTCATCCACAGCTGGAATCCCTCCTCTCTAGTGGGGCCCTGACCCTCCCATTGCCCAAAGTCACAGTCCTACCCAGCCTTTTGTTCCCCTGCACAGTGACCTTCCCATTGCCTCCAGGAAACCCTCTTCTAGGCATGTGTCTGTGGAGCATCTCTGTTATGTGATCTCAGGCTTCTGCCTCACTTCCTCAGAGGGGGACACCTGTCCCTTTGGACCTTCTCATTCACCCTGCACCAGGCCTGTGTGGCCAGGGCTTTGGGGTTGGCTCTGGTCAGGCAGGGCCTGGTGACTCTGGCCCCTCCCTGCCCGCCAGGAGGGCCCAGTCTTATGGGGAAACACATGACTTACACAGTTCCCTCTAGCTGTGATTTCCTATCCTCCATTCCGTCATTTTCGGGACCTGGGTGTGAGGGCTCAGCAGCTTGATGTCCATCTTCACTGAGAGCTTATTACCTGAGGGTATCTGAAGCAAGATCCAGGCCCCAGGTATGGTGAACATTTGTTGTCAACATTAAAAACGGTGAAGTTTCACATAAGAATTTAGAATTCTGACTTATCCTGAGAAATTGGAAAGCATGGCCACCTTGGGCCAATGTTTCTGCTTATCAACCATTAAATGGGCATATGTCCTGCCAGGTGCCATAGGTTCCCAGCAAGCATCCACTTTTGTGACCTTTGATGATGCAGCTGATTCCAAGAAAGTGGAAGTGATCAGTGTTTGGGGAGAAAGGGACTCTACAGACAGACATCCTGGAAGACTTCCCATAAAAAGTGGCATGGGTTTAATCCTGAAGGCTGAGGGAACCAGGCAGCCTGGGGTCAGGTCCAGCTAGGTGTGGTCGTAAAACCCATGGCACTCTCCAACTCCTTTCTCCTGTGGCTGACGGTACTCTCATCCTCCTCAAAAGATGAAGGAGACCCAACCAGCAGCCTTCTTCAAGGGCCATGTCTTCCTGTCTCACTCACTTCCCTGCCAGGTTGATAGTTTCGCCATAATCCTCCTACCCCCACCATTGTTATGCCTTTATATGGTATTTAATCATGTACTTAGGATTTTAAAGGATACTCTAAATCACTACCATAATGGAAAAGCCAAATTTTGCCATAATTCAAAGACATCCAGCAAAAATAAATAAAATGACAACAAAAAAATGTTGTCAAATTCTAGATACTACTGCCTGCAAAAGGTGTTGGAAAAGTGGTGAGACAGACTAGCAGAAGCAGAGACCTTCCCTTTAATGCAATCAGGAGATTGAAAGGAAAATGAAAAGGAATGGATCTCTCACTTTGCAAGTCAGTGACATTTTCTGATGGGACTACGTAACTAAATTATCTGCTCACTTTGAAAGACCAGCACTAGGATAATTTTTAGAAATCAGGTTTGTCTCCCTGACACTCCTGAGTAAGCCCTAGCAGCTGTTCCTTCCCACATTACCCCTGGCCTCCTGGGGCTCCACCCACAGACCCCTGCCTTGGGTCTAGCAGGGAGCAAATCACCACCCTCGCCCAGCCCATCCTTCAGTTCCCACCATGACACCCTCTAGGCTGAGTAAAGGGATCAGGCACACAGGCACCACAATTTAGAGTTGAATCCCCCAAGTCAGGAGCCCTTGTGGACATGGGCCAGCTTCCTGATCACCAGTCTTCAGCTCAAACAAAAAAAATCACCTCCTATTTCTTCCAACCTCTCTTCTATTTCTGGAGATGCTGCCCACCCACTGGTGCTTGCTCTCCCTCTGCAGCCCCTTCCTCAGGTGAAATGCAGGACACAGAAATCCCCTGTGGTTCTTTGCTCAAGTCTACTTACTCAGTCTAGGTCCTAAAGATATCAATTAAGGACCACAGGGCCAACTCAGCTGGAATGCTTGTTTATGTGTGTCATATGTGTTTCTTTTTTGTTGAACTTGAATGTCTTTAGGTCTGGCTTGAACTCTTCTGCTTGATACAGTCCCCACCACTCCCTATCATCCTATACCTGCCTATATATTGATCACAATCATTACCAGCCTGGTCCCTGAAGGACTGGAGTTGCAACCCTGATCTGGGACAGTCCTGTGTTGTGGGAGCAGGACGAAGACAAGTCAGGGTGAACCTGAGCCCACCAGCCCCCTTAAAAATTTTCCCAAGGAAGGAGGTGCAGAAAGAGATGGGGCCCTTTCCTGCTCATCTTAGGTGTCACTGATCATCACACACGCCTCGGAGCATGGACTTTAAGAAGGCAGCACATCTTCCTCTGTGCCTGCCCCAGCCCTCAGTGGTGGTGCCCTGCCTTATTCTGAAGAGGAGGGCAGGGCTCTTGGCTCCCCCTCTAGTTTCCAGGCCACATGTGCCAGTAAAGACTTCATCAGAGTCATTCCTGTCCCTTGGTGGCCACACAGAAACCAAAAGTTCTTCTGCTCTTTCACGAGGTCATAGTCCTTGGCCAGCCCTGCCCACACTGCAGGCTACAAGCAGATGGAAGCAGTGAGCTTTCACTGTCCTCCCTCCAGACAAGCAAGCTTCCAGGGGTAGGGGGAAGGGACCTAGACTCTTCAAGTCCCTCAGGGACCTGATGCCAAGCATAACAAGCTGTGAGGTCTTATTACCTTGTCAAGGAGCCTCTGCAGCAGCTCTATGCCCCTCTGGTATCACTGGCTGCAGTGACCCCGTCAGATGCACAGGCAGAGCTCTGGCTGAGAGCGGCCTTGGTAAGCAGTAAGTCAGGGGAATGCTGATGGAACAGAACGTGGAGGCTGGGTGGCCTTTAGACAGTTCAGTGCTCACTGCTTTTTGAGCATCCCACCTACACACACCCTGACAGGGCACTGGGTCAGGCAAAAGAGGAAACATGGGTGGTATCTGGGCAGCAATGATCCACACAGAGGCGCCCCCACCACTCCTGGGATCAGTTCTGCTTGGAAGTGAAAGACAAAGTGCATGAAGTTTGGAGGCTTGGGGATCCAGGCTCAGTAAACACTTCTACATGGAGACACAAGCTGGAGTCTCAGACTCTATCTAAGCAGTAATGACCCAGGGAAAGGTAAAAGGTCAGTGTCCACTTGTGACTGCCCACTTGCACATAAGCTCAACCTGGTGGAGAGGCAGCAAGGCCTAAGAATTTTCATGGGAATGTCTGGGTGCGGCAGGTAGTGGATATGCTGGGCCCACTTAGACCCCTGGGTCCACCTTGTCTGGCCTCTCACAGAGGTCAGGAGGGTTATTTTGGTCCAGTGCTCCCATCTGAGAAAGGCTTCCGGGTCCCTTATGATGGCCCTGGCTTCATGTGGCACAGCCAGCTTAAACCATGAGGAAATGTACAAGCTCACATACCAGGACGTCAGCAAGTAGGGCAGCTCCAGAGCTCAACCTGCCCCCCTGAGTATCATCCTTGCCCCAACCTGGTAGAAGGAGCCAGCGGCTGACAAGAGGCTGGAGGTGTTACTGGGACAAGCCTGGATTAATGGTCAGGGACTGAATATATATTAGAGGTCAGCCCCAGTGCTCCCCAGCACCCCACTTGCCTTTATGTCTAAATGAAAGCATGGCACAGTCCAGGTTTAGCCCTGCCTGGGGAAAGAAGACATTCCTCACCAGATGCTATGTTTATATCCCATTCCCAGACAACAGTATCTATAGAGCATGGAGAATTAATTTCTTTACATATAAATGGCATATGTAACTTTTGAAGGGCACAATCCTGTTACATTGTGGGGTTTTGTGTTCAAAACCTTTGTAAGCCTAACTGGGCATTTCCTCACTTAAAATCCAGGGACCATCTACAAGCCAATACCTTGTGGACCCCAGGATCCCTAGCCCCCAGGGCTTTCTTCTTCCCATCCTCCCTTTGTGTCAAGCTCCTCTCTTCCAGTTAGCCCAACACTACATAGCATCTCAAGTGAGGGCCTTAAACAACAGAAGCTTCCATCTGGGACTGGTAGTGGCGCTAACCATGGAACCCTAAGGCCAAGACCCACTGGGATCTAGATGTAGAGTTGAGGGTCTTTGGCCATGACTGCTGCCCCTGGGGACTCCCTGGGGGCCCCACTGCTCCTGCAAGGGGAGCTGGACACCTGGTCCGTGCCAAGGCCCCACTGCTAGAAGGAAGGTCCCTCTTGGCTGGTTCCCTCCCAGCAGCTCTGAATGCTCCCTCCTCCTCTGCAGAAACACAGAATTGGATACAAAGTCCCTGGGACATTTAAAGTGGAGCTCATGAGAAACTGGTTACCTCTGCTTCCT